TTGCCGAAATTGCGAGCAGGCTCTGACCAACGCTCGCACGCAGCCCATCTGCACGCGCGTCGCAGTCCAGCGTTCAAACCCATTGCACACCCGTGACGCGGCGGGGCCGTTCGCGCTGCGCTCGAGATGCGGGGAGGTCAGGGAGAGGGCAGGGGAAGGAGAAAGAAGGAGGAGGGGAAGTGGAAAGGGTAGGGAGGATAGTGAAACGAAAACGAAAGGGCGAGGTCGTGCACCGCGGTCGGCCCCGCCCAGCAGCCCGCCCCTCGAGCGCGGCGCGCGAGCCTAGTGCACGGCGCCGCCAGGCGGCTCCTGCTTGCTCAGCACCAGGTGCGCAAGGATCCGCCCCTTGAGGGTCTGCCACGCGGCCGCGGGGTCGTCGCCCCACGCGATCTGGGCGGGCTGCACCATGGGCGCGGACGCCCTGAAGGCCTTGGACCGGACGAGCACCTGCGGCTCGCCCCCTCGCTTCATCAATCCCCTTCCCCCCCTCCGCCATCCCTCTCCCTCCACCCCGTCATCTCACCCCTGGCCTCCCTCTTCCCTCCAACATCCTCCACATCTACCTCGCGATATCGATTTCTCACGGTATCTCACGGCATATCACGCGACATTTGTTTCACGGAATCTCACGCTACCTCTTGACATATATATCAAAACAAAGTTGCACAGCGCTATCCATGACATCTCACGCTATCTCAGGGCATGCCCACGCTATCGTTTGTATCGCACGCTATCCAAACATTATATCCCACGCTATATCACGCTGTATTGAACACGTACCATCGCTATATCACGTTATATCACGCTATATCACGTTATATCATTATGTATCGTGAGAGCGCCTCCGCGCGGCACTGGTGCTGCCTCCTGCCGATGAGGAAGCCCACCCGGTAGCTGTGCTCCCCGTGCGGCATGTCCGGCGGCATCGCCTCCGCGGGGAGGCCCTTGATCTTGTCACGGTTCCGCTCGAGCCACTCGTTCGGGTCGACGAGTTCTGAGGAAGGGGGGGGGGGGTCCACCCTCCTCCTCCTCCTCCTCCTCCTCCTCTTCCTCCTCCTCCTCCTCCTCCTCCTCCTCGTCAGTCGTCGTCGTCGTCGTCGTCGTCGTCCTCCTCCTCCTTCTCCTCCTCCTCCTCCTCCTGCTCCTCCCCAGCCTCCCCCGCTCCATATATCTCGCCGCTCCTCCTCCCTCCTCCTCCTCCTCATCCCCTCCTCCCTCCTCCTCCTCCTCCTCCTCCTCCTCCTCCTCCTCCTCTTCCTCCTCCTCCTCCTCATCCTCCTCCTCCGTCTCATCCGCCTCCCCCCCCTGCTCTTCCTCCTCCGCCTCCTCCTCCTCCTCCTCCTCCTCCTCCTCGCCATCCTCATCATCATCCTCATCCTCGTCAACGTTGAGTGCGCCCAGCCTGCCTGCTCTGGCATGCCCCCCCTTCTTCGGCAGCGGCTTGCCCGCGGCTGTCCCCGTCGCGCCTGCGGCCTTCGCGGACTTCATCGGCAGCGGCTTGCCCTCGGCTGCCGCCGTCGCCGCCTCGCCGCCAGACGGCGGCGCTGGTGCCTTCTTCGACGGCCATGGCGTGGCCTTAGGCGCCTCCTCCGCAGCGGCAGCCGCCGTCGCTGCCTCGCCGCCCTGTGTCGCGGCCGCTGGCCGTTTCATGGCCAGCAGCCTCGGCCTCTTCGCTTTGGGCTTCTCGGGCGCCTCCTCGGCCTCCTCGGCCTCCTCGGCCTCCTCGGCCCCCATGGCCTCTTCCCCATCCTCGGGCGCCGCCTTGGCGTGGAGGTTGGGCGGCGGCGGCACCTGGCCGCGGGCGCGCGCCAGCAACTCTGACACACTCGGAGGCCGGGGCGCCGCGGTCATGACCTTCTTCTCCTTCGCCGCACTTGCGGCCTTCGCGGCCTTCGCGGCCTTCGCCGGCGGCGGCGTGCCCGCGACGACTGCCGCTGGCCCCGCGGCCGCCGACGGCCGCTCCGCTGCCTCCTCGGGCGGATCCGCCACGTATCCTGCAGCCGAGTCCTGCAGCTGCTCCCTCCACACGCCCGAGCATGCCGCCTCTCCCGCCTCATCACCTCCTCCTCCCTCGTCCGATGGCGCAGCCTCGTCCGCCGCATCGTCCATCTCGGCACACTCGCTGCCGCTGTCGTGGATCTCGAGCACGTGCTCCAGGTCGCGCCGAATGCCCCCCACACCGTCGTCGACAGTGCCCCTGCCAGTCATCAGCTGCTCCGCCACCTCTTTCAAAGTCTCCTGAGGGGTCCGCGTCGCTCGTCGTCGTCGTCGATCGTCGTCGTCGTCGTCGAACTCATCGTCCTCCTCGTCCCTCGTCATCCTCCACCTCATCAAGGGCTCCCAACTTCGCGCTTCGCGCTGCGCGAAGCGCGAAGCGCGAATAACTTCGCGCTCTCGCGCCGCCCCCCCAAAGGGAGAAAAGGAGGACGAGGAGGAGGGGGAGAAGGAACGAGGACCGCGAAGCGCGAAGCGCGAATAACTTCGCGCCCTCGAGGGAGCCCTTGCTCATCCACCTCGTCGTACCCTCCTCCCTCCGTTGGACCCGTAGCCGTCCGGTGACATGTCGGGGTTGGCACTCTGCAGCTCGTGCATGAGCTGCTCCACGTCCTCTTTGTCGGCCATCTCGATCGGCTCGTCGCCCTCGCGATCCGTCGACGCGGCGTGGCCCTCGACCTCCATCTCGATCTGCTCGTCGCCCCCGCGCGTGCCCAAGTGCCCGTCTGGCTGGGACTCCGCCGGCGGCGAGCCGCTCCTGCCCCTCCTGCGACGCGTCACGGGCTCCGAGGGGCACAGCTGCTTCAGCTCCAACATCTTCGGGTCCTGGCGTTACCGCCCCGACCTCCATCACATCCGACTCCTCCCCTTCCCCTCCCCCGATCCTCATCATGTTTCCCTCATCCGTTCGGTGATCATTAGCTTACGCTATCTCGCGCTATATCACGCAATCTCATTTCAACCACGCTATCTCACGCTATCTCACGCTACATCACGCGATATACGATTCGCTGTTTCACTGTATAGATCACGCTATCCCACCACATGGATATGGATGTCGGTATCTCACAATATCTCACGCCGTCTCACGCGATCACGCGCCAACAGCCTATCCTTGGCCTCGCCGCGGGAGTTGCGAGCCAGCCGCATGACCTTCGACACGAGGTCGTGGGCGCAGGCGCCCTCGTACACGGCCCACGGCGAGGGGCCCGCCTGGACGGACCGCTGGTGCTCCACCGTGCTCGGGGCCGTTACTTTTCATTCCTCCCCGCCTCCCTAGCCTCGTCCCCTCTCTCTATCCCTCTCCTCATCCTCATCTTCCTCCTCCTTTTTCTCCTCCTCCTCGTCCTCTTTCTTATCCTCCTTCTGCTCCTCACTCATCTCATCAAATCAGGTGCCTGCCGAGGTTCCAGCCAGACGACTCGTCAAAGTCGTGGATCGCAAGGGCGTAGATATCGGACGTCGGCTGCATTCCTGCCACGAGGAGGCGGAGGTTGGAGAGGGGAGGAGAAGAGAAAGTACGAGTAGGATGAGGAGTGGAAGTCGAGAGAGGTCCTTGCAGGGCCTCGAGCAGCGCCTTCACAACATCGAAGTTCTGCAGCACATCATCCTGGGTCACCTGGCTGAGCGGGCGCGAAGTGGGGAGGAGGAGGAGGAGGAGGAGGAGGAGGAGGAGGAGGCGGATACCTTCGGCTTGCCACCCGGGTCGTTCTTCGCGACGACAAAGAGCCGCTTGGTCTGCTCGCAGGCCGTGATGCGCTCGCCCGGCAGGCCCGATGCCATGGCGTTGAAGACCGCATCGCGCTGCGCCGCGAGCGAGCGCGGGGGGCCCTCGTGGGCTGCAGGCTCGGACATGGTTGCAGCCTAGAATGCTGCAGACATGTTGACGATTACGATATATCACGCTATCTCACGCTTTCTCACTCTACATATATGTATATATCTCACGCCTGTCCACGCCGTCCCATGCCATCACGCGCGATGTCGTTCACGCTAACGCTAGATGTCCACGCTATCTCACGCTATCTCAATGGCTTCGCTATCTCACGCTATCTCACGCCATCTCGCGCCGCTGCAACGGTTGCCGCCATCTCTAGCGAGCGTGGCTTTTGTCATCGTCGCGCCCCTGCCAGAGGAGTCGATGGGAAAACCTGGGGTCAAGGTCTCCCGGGCCACTCGTTTCCTCCTCATCCCGATGTTCATCGCGCCTCCCTCCCCATGCCACGCCACCCCATCCTTCCCAATTCCCCCAGTCATCATCCTCTTCCCCCTCCCCCGTTTTCTGCTGTCGGCCCTCTATATCCCTACTTGTCCCTTTGTGTGTGGTGGGTCCTGATCAGCGATGTCGTCGAGCATGGGCGCCCAGCCAACGTCCGCTACCATAGGCTCGAAGCTCACGTTCGATGTGGCGATCGGTCGTGGCTCGGCGCTCGGGTTCTGGTTGATTGGCCCAGAAGACCCAATTAGCTGTGAGCCAACACGAGTGGAAAGGCCGAAGCCAGTCATAAACGAGCTCAAGCACCCGCATGCCGGGCTCTGCCACCATTGCTCTAGAGACGACACGAAGCTGCATAACAGCAATCCTACACAGGTGCTCATTTTCGTGATCTTCGTTTGTGAGATGAGCCATCCTGAACCAAAAACTGCATTGCGACGGCGTTGGCGCTATCTCACGCTACCTCACGCTATCTCACGCAACATCTCAACGATATCTAGTCATTGATGTCTCGCGCTATCTCTCGCATACAGAACGCCGCGGTATACCGCGCTATCTCACGGTACCAAGTGTCACAGACCACGGCATTCCACACGACATATCACGCGATATATCGGCCATGCTATATATCACGCTATCTATTGCGGTATCTATATACATAATGTCACGGTGTCTCACGCTATCTCACGATATCTAATGGCACGGCATTCCACGCGATATCTCACGCGATATCCAAGCCGAGGAGGGACGGGGTGGAGGAGGGAGAGGAGGAGGAGGAGGTACACCCCGATCACTCCAGCTTCGGTGCCTTGCGCGCGCCGTCTGCACTACTGCTCGCCGCGCCGTCGACGACGGGCGGATCCGCGCCCTCCTCACTCGCCCTCCCCTCACTGGCCCTGGGCTTAAACTTCAACTGGATGTTGATGGTCTCTGCGCGCTCCTGGGAGCCGATTCCCTGGGGCCCTTCCCCGCCGTTCCAGTTTTTGGAGCTGCGTCCAGCCCTGGCGACATCTCCCCTTCCCGTTCACCCAGGGCTCCTCCAACGCGATTGGTACCTCCGCGGCGGCGGAGGGAGGTTCGAACCTGGAGCCTCGAGGGTCGGGGCTCGAGGCTTCTTGGCCTTCGGGGGTCATCCACGGCTGGACGCAGCGCGAAAACTGATGCGCGGGTCCAGGGGGCCCGTTCCGAGCGGATTCGCAGCCCGGGGGTACCACGATCACCATCCTGCCCGAGTCCGCTCGCGTCACATTGAGCCCCATCAAGTCCACGGCCCCGTCGCTCTGGTCAGTCGTGGTCCGCGTCCCCAGGGGGTCCCCGAGGCCTCGGGGGGGGGAGGAGGCGGGACCCCCCATCGCTCGGCCAGAATTTCGAAGGGCTCCAGCCGTGGCTCGAGGACGGAGTGAATTCGAAGAGGATGAGGGGAGAGGAGGGATGATGAGGAGGAGGAGCCTTCGATCAAGACGTTAGTTGTGCGCTGCGCTGGTGTTGCTGGTGCTGGTTCCGCTGGTGCTGCTGGTTCCGCTGGTGCTGGTTCCGCTGGTGCTGCTGGTTCCGCTGGTGCTGCTGGTTCCGCTGGTGTTGCTGGTTCCGCGAGTGCTGGTGCGAGGGAGGCCTGTCGACGACGACGACGACGACGACGACGACGACGACGACGACGACGACGACGACGACGACGACGACGACCACGACCACGACCACGACCACGACGACCACGACGACCACGACGACCACGACGACGACCACGACGGCCTTGCCCTGACAGGCTGCAGACGCGTATCCTGGAGGCGGCGTCGACGGAGGCCTCGGCCTCATCTTGGCTGGCGGTGCCAGCGGCTGGGCGTCGGTGCTGGCGTTTGGCGCTGGTTTTGGCGCTGGCGGCTCGGCCCAGCGCGCCGGCGGCGGCGGCGCGCCCATGGGCCACATTTTCGGGCGCGGCTTGTGCATCTTGCGAACCAGACGCTGGCGGCGGCGGCGACGGCGGGACGACGGACGAAGGGCGGCGCGGACAAGGGGTACCACGCTATCTGTATCTCACGCGATTTATATCTCACGCTATATATCCCCCGCCATCTGTATCTCACGCTATGTGTATCTCGCGCTATCTGTATCTCACGCTATCTGTATCTCACGCCATCTCGCGTTCCCGCTATCTGTATCTCACGCTATCCCACGCTATCTCCCGCTATCTCCCGCTATCTATATATCTGTATATAGATGTGGATATCGCGATATATCCCACGCGATTTCTCACGCTGGTAAACAAGCAAGTCGACCGCCAGCATCCGCCGTCGTCGTCGTCGTCGGGGGAGAAGGGAGGGGAGGGGAGAAGGACGACGACGAACCTCAGGGAGGGGAGAGGGGAGGGGAGAAGGGGAGGGGAGAAGGGAGGGGAAGAAGGGAGGGGAGAAGGGGAGGGGAGAGGGGAGGGGAGGGGGAGAAGGGAGGGGAGAAGGGGAGGGGAGAGGGGAGGGGAGAAGAAGTATAGTTTTTTTTTTTGAAATTCGAATTTCGGCAATCTCCAACTTTCGCGCATGTTGCGGCAGCCGCAGTCCGCAGCTGGGGCCGAGCGGAAGAGGCCGCGCGCGGAGCAGCATTTGCAGCCGTGACGAGCCGCGAGCCCGAGGGCGAGGAGGAGCGAGGAGTCGGGAGGAACGAGAAAGAAGAAGGGGGGGAAAAACATCGACGAATCTGACATCCGATGCCCCCCGCCCAAGCTGCAGCAGCGGCCAAGGTTCCCACGCGAACTTCCAGCATTTTTTGCAACGGCCGCGGCAGCTGCAATCCGTCTACGTACGCGCGCAGGCACCGTGACGCGGGCGCCGCTTTCCGAGAGGCCGAGGGTCGGAACAGAGGTAAACGTTTGCCTACATCAAACGCACGCATCGTGTAGCGTTTGCCGCAGTCCGCCGCCAAGCGTGGCACGCGCCGAGAACCCGAGCACGCGCGCGAGCGCAGATTGCGGCAATCCGACGGCCCGCGGGCCAACGAAGGCGTTGCGGGCAGGCCAGCGGCCTCGGGGAGGAGGAGGGGCGGGCAGGCCAGCGAAATTTTTGCAAAACATCACAAATATCATTCAAAAACAACAGAAACGAACTCAAAACATCAAAATTCTGAAAATCACAAACTCCGGCGGACACAGATATATCGCTAAGTCATTTGGCCGGGGGAGGCTTAGTGCTTAAGCCTTTCCGGGGGTCCCGGACCCTCTGGGAAAGAGCACGCAGGAGTCAAAAAGGGGAACTCGGGGAAACGGAAGAAGAGGAGGGGAAAATACACGACCAATGACCCCAGTCAAATAGGGCAAAACGTCGACAGGACGACTGTGACCCCCATCCTCGTCGGGTGGGGCCCCCTGTCCAGCTAATTCCAAATATTCGGAAGGCGTGGAGGCCCCCAGTGCTTTGCAAATTTGCGCAAGCTGTGCAAGCCTAGTGAGAGAGGAGGAAGAGGAGGACGAGGAGGAGGAGGAGGAGGAGGAGGAGGAGGACGAGGAAAAGGAGGAGGAGGAGGAGGAGGAAGAGGAGGACCGGTGCAAACCCAAGACTCACCCACGATGCTAAAAGAAACCCTCCCTCCAAACTCCCTCTTCGGAAGCCCCTACTCCAGATTTCGTAATAAAAGGGAGGGGGTCTCATTTCGGGGGGTCTCTTCCAGGCTATCTTGGAGGGCCTGGGGGGGTCTGGGGACGATGTTTTGGAGGGTTCTCCCACGGGGGGGGGTCTGAAATGGCTCGTCTTGGAGGGTCCAGACCCCCTCCCTTTTATTACGAAATCTGGAGTAAAGCTCACTATCGCTGCAGAACTGCCCCGTTGGGAGACAACCGCTGGAAGACCTTTAGTCCGTGCCAGAACACCATGTTCGGGACTCCCACGCCGCGGATACGCCTGAGTGCTACGCCTTGGCGGCCCAGAGTCGCGCCCGAGCACCACTCCTGCGATTCCAACACAGCGAACCAATGTACTCCAGATCTCGTAATAAAAGGGAGGGGGTCTGGACCCTCCAGACAAGAATTTCAGACCCCCCCCCGTGGGAGAGCCCTCCAAAACATTGTCCCCAGACCCCCCCAGGCCCTCCAAGATGGCCTGGAAGAGACCCCCCCCGAAATGAGACCCCCCTCCCTTTATTACGAAATCTGGAGTAACTGATGCGCTGTCACAATCCTGAATCCTTCTAAAACCCAATTTCTGGTACGTTGCCCATGGGAACCCGTGCAGCACGGGTTCCGTGCTGCTCTTGCGATTTCTTCGAACGGGCCGTGCACGGGCCGTGCTACTCTTGCAACTTCTTCGAACGATTGTTTGCAATTTGTTAGAACGAACCACATTTTGAAAACGAGCCGCCCTCCATCCGCCAAACTTCTACAATTTTGTAAGACGAGTGTGCGCGGCGCTAAGGCGAAATCCACTGTTTGAGAACGAATCGCTCTTAATCCGCGAAACTCTTGCGCTGGTTTGAAACAAACGGGGACGGCGCTGAAACGAGAGCCACATTTTGAAAACCGGCCGCCCTCAATCCGCGAAACCAGTATCAGCTTGTTTTTTTGACCAACAGACATTCGGCGCCAAGGCGAGAGCCACATGTTGGAAGCTGGCCGCTCTCCATCAGCAAAACTGCTGCCAAAATTGAGCCTCAAGGTCATAAGGGGTGAGAAAAGCTCAAGCGAAACGCCCAGCCCGCCCTTTCGACCGGCCTCGGGATCGCAACATGGAGGAATTATTTATAGGAACAGGAATGGAGGAGGAGGAGGAGGAGGAGGAGGAGGAGGAGGAGGAGGAGGAGTCGGAGGACGAGGAAGGGGGGCAGAAGGGGGGGAATGGGAGAAACGGAAGAGCATCCCTCCCTTCCCTCCTGCCCCTTTTCCTGCCCCCTCGCTCATTCCCCTTCCCCCCCCGCCTTCATCAATTTCCCCTCTTTCTCCCCCCCATCCAATCCCCTCCGCCTCTGCCTTCTGTCCGACAGCGAATTGACGACGAGACGCCGACGCCGCCGCCGCCGCCGCCACCGCCGACGCCGCCGCCGCCCACGACGACGACGCCACTGACGACGCCGACGCCGACGCCGACGGCCACGACGACGACGACGACGACGACGACGACGACGACGACGACGACGACGACGACGACGACGACGACAGCGGCGGCGGCGACGGCGGCGGCGACGACGGCGGCGGTTGCGGCGGCGACGACAACGACGGCGACGGCGACGGCGACGACGACGACGACGACGACGACGGCAAGCAAGGGGCGGCGCCCTGCGGAGCGCTGCGGGCACCAGGCCGGCTCCCCGCGCCGCCCGCCGCGCCAGCGCCCACGCGGTGCCCGACACCTCCTCGGGCCAGGGGGGCGCTCGCGGCGGGATAAGAGAAAATGGGGGGGACGGGGGGAACGAAGGCGGGGGGGCTGGGGAGGGGGCGGGGGACGGTGCGTGGCACTGCTTCTGTGGGCGGGGGGTCGCGCGTCGCGCCCCACGCCCCAGCGCCCCGAGCCGATCCAGCAGGCTCGGGCGCGGCGCGCGGCCCATCTGCGCCTCAGCGAGCGCCGCGGCTCAGCCCGCAGCAGGCAGCAGCCCACGCCGCCTCTGGGCTGCCATAGGGGCCCCATTCACTGTCTCCATGGGCCGCAGAAGCCCTTTGGAACCCGTCGAACTGCTCTGCTGGCCTGCGGCCGCTGTCCGGTGCGCCTGGGCTGGCGGCTGCGGCGGCGTCTCCGCGGGGCCCTCCTCCTTCGTCCCCGCCAGACACCTGCGCCTCCAGCTGCTCTCTCCAGTTGGCCCGCGTCTCCCGTTGGCGTTCAGGGAAGAAGGCCCGCGGAGACCCTGGCGCTCCTGCGCCAGGACGGGTTGGCCGACCTTCTCCCTGCCAGCTGCCGATTGCGCTGGTGTCGCTGGCTTATTGCTGACGTCGAACATCTCGTCCTCGCCGATGAATGATGTCTAGGGTGATATCTGCACCTCCGCTCCTACAGCCCGCGGTGCGAAGCGCCGCACTGGCGGCACTTCCCCCCCTCGTCCTGGCGGCCCCTCCCTTGGCGAACCCGCCCGCGGTCTCGGTGCTTCGCAATCTCGTCGTGCTGGATATTGTCCTCGTCCGACTTGCCCCTGCAAGCGTCGAGTACGATGAGGTCTGCGCCTCCAGTCCTGTACCCCTCGGTTGGGGACGCCGCGCTGGCGGCTCGCCACCCCTCCCTCCTGGTGGCAGCCCCTCCCTTGTCGAATCCGCGGTCCTGACGCTCCACGAGCTCGTCATGATAGACCTTACCCTCGTCCTTCTTGCCCTTTGCGTTTGGAGCCAACGCGCTGAGCCGATCGGCACGTGCGCGACCCGCACAGCACGGAAGTCCAAGCGCATACCAACTAGACACGCCGGCGGCACGTTTGGCGGGGTCTTCGGCCGAGGCGCCATCCCCCGCTGCGGTGGCGCAGGCACCTCGTGCCCAAATTCGGCAGCGCGCGCAGGATCCCGAACGGGCATCCCGTTGTCGTGGAGGGGCGCCGCCTTCACCGGGGGACCTGCTCGCACGCGCAGCGCGCCCGTCGGTGCGTCCTCGAATCTCCCGGCTTCCCCGCTGCGCCCCGACGCGTGCCAGAACACGCGCAGCGGCATCTCCTCACTCTTTTGCCTCCTGCGCGGCACGGCATCCCCAGCGACGTCACCATGTTGACATGCTTCACGGGCTTGTGGCTGATGATGCCCATCTTGGGCGGGACCAGCACCTGGCGGACTGCGATGTACTGCCTGTGAAGTCGCGTCCGTGAGCTCCGCCTCAACGTATGCTGTGCCCCTGGCGTCCCGCTTCCCTTGGCGCATCCTGACGGTGACCTCCCCAGCCTGCCCAACTCGCCTCTTCGAGGTCGGCGACGTCTCCTGTCGATGCGGGCCCCTCCTCTGGCGAAAGTGACGGCGCCGTCAGCATCCACTCTAGGTCAAGAGAGCCCAGAATCGAATCGGTTAGTCGGATCGGCGATCGACATGAATTGGATCGGCGGCAATCGGCAGCGGAGTGGGGAGAAATCGAATCGGCGGAAATCGGCAGGCTGGTAGGCCTCCATCGAGACATTGGAACCCAGATCGGCATCCAGAGACGAATCGAATCAGAATCGGAGGCCATCGACATCAAATCGGAGGAACCGAAATGAGCCCTGCTCTAGTCAGCTACACGTAAGAGTGACCCTTGGTAAGAGTGACCTTTGGTGCGCGGCTTTTGGGGGGCCGTGGGGGGGCCAAACACAAGCGCGCAAGGCGCCATTGCCGCCTCGCGTTCGGCGATCGGGGACTCCAATGGGCCAGCACCAAAGGTCACTCTGGCGAAGGGTCACACTTACGTGTAGTCGATCTAGGTCGCCCTATGTCGTCTCCTCGGGCGTTCGCGCCGCCAGCATCGTCTCGAGGTCCAGCGCCTCCGGTGCGGGCGCGTTCGCCACGGCCTCGGCGCCGCGGGCGGTCGCCACGTGGGGCACCGCGCCCTCTTGGGAAGGGGCCCGCCGTCCTGGCATTCCCGTGGGCCTGCAACGACATTGCTCTGAGAACCCAGATACGTTCTTAGAGCAAAGACAGTGTTCTTAGAACATACGCCCGATGGTGGTGGTGGTGGAAAACAGGCCCATCACCCGCCTCGGCGTCGCGGGCAGCCTCCGGCGCCGGCGCTGCCGCCTCAGCCTTGGCCCCACCATCTTCGCGCGCGGCCCTCGACCTCGACCCTTCCCCGCACGGATCGAGGCGCCAGCACGCCCCGCCGTCGGCCTCGGACCTCACGACGAAGGCCTGGTCGCTCACCCGCGCCCCCTCTGCATCACCAGGGAGGGACGACCTCGTGGCCTCAGCGTGGCCGTTGCGGAGCTCTTCCATCTGCAGCGTCGGTCCCTGGCCGCGTTCGCCCTTCACCGCGGAGACCGCCACTACGAGGCTCCGCGGATGCTCCTGGGGCTCGCGCGTGTTCCGATTTGCCACTCCGATGATGGACAAGCGCTCCACCACCACGAGCACATGTAGGACGAGGTGGAGAAGGGAGGAGGAGGTCCTCCCCATCCCCCTCCTCCTCCTCCTCCTCCTCCTCCTCCTCCGCCTCCGCCTCCTCCCCCTCCTCCTCCCCCTCCTCCTCCCCCTCCTCCCCCTCCTCCCCCTCTTCCCCCTCCCCCTCCCCCTCCCAACGCTTGGTGCTGGTGGTGGAAAACCGGCCCACCACCCGAGGCCCCAGCTTGCCTTCGGCGCCTAAAGCGCGGCCTGCACTGGGCACCAGGCGGTCGCCCTCAGCCTCCATGCCTGCGGGGGCCTCCTCGCCCGCGGCCAGCAGGGCATGTCATTGTTTGTTCCCCTACACAGCTCCTGTCAGCGGCTTGCATGGGTCCGAGGTGGCGCGAGCGAGTCCGTGAGGAAACGCGCAAAGGAGCGCCAAATCCACGCGGAGGAGAGGGAGGAGGAGGAGGAGGAGGAGGAGGAGGAGGAGGAGGAGGAGGAGGAGGAGGAGTCGACCGTGGGCTCATTGCGCTGCCTCGCGCTGCGGGCCTCGGCTGGCAGGTGCGCCGCACGACGGCGTGCGGCGTGCCACTCGGTCATAAGTGCATGGCCGTGTGTGTGCATGTGTGCATGTACGTGTGAATGCGTGTACGCCTGTGTGCCTGTACAGTCGGGGCGTTGACCTAAGGAACCCTAAATAAGGAACGAGGCCCCTTTGTTCCATAAGTTAACCTTCGATTTCCTGTCGAAAACATAAGGAAAACCTGAGGCAAGCTGTGAAACACTTAAGGAACGCGGAGCCCCTCCCCAACGAAAATGGTTCCTTCTTCAAGACCCCTAGTGTATGCCTGCATGCCTGCATGCCTGCATGCCTGCGTGCATGTGTGCGTGCATGCATGTGCGCATGAATGCATGTGTGCCTGTTTGCATGTGTACACGTATGCATGCGTGGATGTATGGTGAGCGTGTCTTTGCTCGGCGTTTCGACATTGGGCGGAAAGGGGGGAAGGGAGAGGGGGTCTGGCTCCGGACCTCTGCTTAGTGCGACTGTTTGCAGCAGTGCGTCCTATGGGGGAGACTCCACCTGCTCGAAACAGGAGCCAAAAACAGCCAAGATCTACTCCCGGGGGGGAGGGGAGGGTGCGAGGGCCCGCGCCGATCGGCAAACAATTAATCCAAATACGATTACATGAAGGGTGCATGTGTTGGTATGTACCTGTATATACGTGTATGTGTGTATGTATGTATGGATGGATGGATTGATGGATGGATGTGTATATGTATGTGTGGATGTCTGTATGTGCATGTACGTGGCTGTGCAGGCATGCATGTATGCACAAGTTCAAATAGGTTTTGTATAGGTATGTGTATGTATGTATGTATGGACGTATCGTTGTTTGTGTATGTGGGTATGTTGGTATGTGTGCATGTATGCATGTATGGTGTACGTGTGTATACATGTAGGCACGTATGCATGTATGTGTACGCATGGATGCATGGATGCATGTGTGTAGGTGTGTGTGAATGTATGTGTTGTTGTGTGTATGGATGTATGCGTCTATATTAGTGTATGGATATATATATATATGTGTATACACACAGTTGTGTGTGTATGTGTATATGTGTGCGTGTGCGTGTGTATGTATGTATGCATGCATGTATGTATGTACATTTGTATGCATATATGCATGCATGCGTGTATGTGTGGATTGGTGTAAGTGTGTGTGTGTGTGCGTGTGTGGTCATGCGTGTATGCATGCATGTGTAGATGTGTGTAGGTACGTGCATGTATGTATGTGTGCACGTGTACATACTATGTATGTAGGTGTGTATGGAAGTGTGCATATGTGTAGACATGCATGTAGGCATGTGTGTATGTATGTAGGTGTGTATGTGTATGCATGTACGCGGGTTATGTGTATAGACGAACGGATGTAGGTACGTATGTGTGGGAGCATGCGTGTATGCATGTATATATGTATATGTATATGTATGCATGGATGTATGAGTGTGTGTGTACGTACGTATGTATGTAAATGTGGATGTGTGTATGTATGTGTATGTATGTATGGATGTGTGTGTGCATGTATGTATGTGTGTATGCATGCATGTAGGTGTACAGGCAGGTAGGTAGGTAGGTAGGTAGGTTTGCAGTCATGCACGTATGAGTGTATGTATGCATGTATGTCTGCCTGCATGTGTGCATGCATGTGTGTACGTATGTGTGCCGGTATGTATGTATGCGTATTTCTCTACATTTACTAGAGGCGTCGCGCGCGCTTGGCCCGCGCCCATGTGCTACGTGCCATGAACCCAAGAGGATTGCGCGTCAGAGGGGCCGTGTTCGGATGATGGATGCCTTGGCTTGGAAGTGCACGCCCTGGTGCCAAGTCACATCGGAGAAGGGTATTCGCAGCAGTGTTGGGACATCCGTGGGCAGTATTGCATCTCGATTGGGCGATGTGGGCCTCCGAGGCCATCTTGAAGGCACGCGTGCGCAACAGATGGGAACTTCAAGAAGAAAAGAACACATCTGAACCGTTGGCTCTTTGGACTGTGAACAGTCGGGAATTCTGTTGTTTTGAACACTCTGTCAGCTTCTTGGGGCCTCATCGTGCCGCTGGAAGACACAGTTACGCACGAGGAAGGTATGCAATAGGCATGGATGATGAAGAAGGGGGAGGCAAGATGGATAATGGAGGAGGAGGGCGCATGAAAGGGAGAGGATGCGGCGAGAGCGAAAAAAGGGTATTGAGGGATGGGAGGCGTACGGATGAGAGAAGAGGAGGAGGGAGGAGGGAAAGACGATGAGGAGTGAGGGGGAGAGTGTCTGCATACTGGAATGGAGGTGCCTTCGTTTAGAGACGTGCGTGAAATATAGTGTAGTTCTCTACGGGGGCCGCTTGCAGAAAACTCGTGAGGGCCACCTGGGCGTTTATTGGGCGCCTCTCGGAGGCTTGTTGGAGGCGTCTTCGGGGACTCTGCGAGGGCGTCGTGGGGCTCGTCCGGATGCTCTGGCGGCCACCTTGGCGCCGAGGGCGATCGGAGGGCCGCTCGGTGGGCGCTCGGGTGGGGCCCCTTTTGGGCCTCTGGGGAACCTCGTATGGCACGCTTGGGCCGTCTTGGGGGCCCGTCTTGGGGGCCATCTGAGGTTTCTTGGGGCCCTTTTGGGGGCCTCTTCGGCGGCCTTGGTGCGCTCTTGGGGGCCTCTCGGAGCCGCCTGGGACGCTGGTGGGACAACAACGTATGATAATCAGAATGCGAACACGAAAATCATAATAACCATATTAGTAATGGTAATAAGACGAAGAAGAGGAATACGAATAGTAAGACTAACAATAGCAATGGTATTAGGAACCATACTAATCAAAAATAATTTGAAATATGCATGATAATAATAAGAATAATAATGCCAATAATACGAATACGGATAATACGAATAGTAGTAATGATGATCGCGGAAAAAACTGATAATACTACTCAAGATGAAACAATTCATAAGCAAAGCAATATGCCAAATCTGTACGCATTCCGGGGGAGTGGGGCGATGTTTGCCGCTCGGGGCCCTCGAGGGGTTCTCTTGGAGCCATCCTGGGGCGTCCTGGGGGCCTCTCGGGCCGTCTTGCGGCCATCTTGGGCCGCGTTGGAGCAATATAAAAGCCATATGGGACGCCCGGAGATTCTGCCGTGGGTCCACTGGCTTCGGGGAGGCCTGCGGGGAGGCCCCGGGGCCGCCACAGGACGGCTCCGGGAGTGGGGGGGGAGCACCCAGTGTACCCTGGGTGCCCCTGGTAGTTGCGGGCCATGAGCCCCAAGGAGCCAGCTTGATGTATGCATGTATTCATGTACGTGTGTCTTGTCGTGTAGTGTGGTAGTGTACATGTTCACAAGTATATGGTGTAGTCCAGCGTAATAATGTACTTTAGCGTAGTGCAGGGCAAATGAATAACATGTAAGCGTTCCCCCTCCCCTATTGCTCGCACCCCAACTCCATCCTTTGCCGCTGCCGCATACCAAACTCGTCTCAGGATCGGTCCCCGGACCCCTCCAGGGGTCCATCCTGCCGTGAAGGCGATGACCTCCAGAGGCGCCCCGAAAAAAATACCCTGGCGAAGGACCCAGCCATATGCAGTTGTGGGTACCGCAATTGTGAATACCTTCTTCGGTGAACTTCCCTATGGGGTCACGAAGCGCTGCACTGGGTGTGGGGAAACGCATGCGAGCGGTAGCACTAGGGCCGTCGGTGGAGCTCCCGAAGCGCTGTACTGGGTGGGTGAAGAAATGCCAAATTGAGTGTGTGGGACGCATGTGGGCGGTCCCACTGGGGGCTTCAGTAGAGCTCCCTGCGGGGCCAAGAAAAGCTGTACTGGGTGGGTGAAAATGCTAATTTGGGTGTGTGGGACGCATGCGGACGGTCCCACTAGGGCCGTCGGTGAGGCTCCCTATGGGCCACGAAACGCTGTACTGGGTGTATGAAAATGCCGAATTGGGTGTGTGGGAGGCATGCGGACGGTCCCACTGGGGGCTTCGGTGGAGCTCTCTTCGGGGGCGCGAAGCGCTGTACTGGGCGGGTGAAAATTCCAAATCGGGCTTTCGGGACGCATGCGGACGGTCCCACTAGGAGCTTCGGTGGAGCTCCCTACGGGGCCACGAAGCGCTGTACTGGGTAGGTGGAAATGCCAAATTGGGCTTTCGGGACCCATGCGGACGGTCCCACTGGGGCCGTCGATGAGGCTCCCTATGGGGCCACGAAACGCTGTACTGGGTGTGCGGGACGCATGCGGACGGCAGCAATGGGACCTTCGGTGGGGCTCCCTATGGGACCACGAAACGCTGTACTGGGTGTGCGGGACGCATGCGGACGGTAGCACTGGGACCTTCGGTGGGGCTCCCTATGGGGCCACGAAACGCCGTACTGGGTGGGTGAAACGCAGGGAGGAGGGAAGAGGGGGAGGAGGGGGAGGGAGGAGGAGGAGGAGGAGAAGAAGAGGAGGAGGAGGAGGAGGAGGAGAAGAACGCGGGGACCACTATTTCAAAACAAGGACCCAACACCACAGGATGGTTGGGGAACAAAAACCATTGGGGAAACCAACAGGTACCGATACCGCTACTCCCCGCACCTCTTCCAGTATGCCGTCTGACCAGAATTTCGAGACTAATCCAGCGGTGGCGACGAGGGCCTCCCAGGAGGCCCCAAACGGCGGAAACGAAGCAAGGGTGTAGCGGTATCGGTGCCGTTGCCCCTCTGCTCCCAGCCGACGGCGTCAGTCGGCGACGGCGCCAACGCCGACGATGACGACGCCGCCGCCGCCGCCGACGACGCCGAGGAGGAGGAGGAGGAGGACGACGACGACGACGAGGCGGAGGAGGAGGCGGAGGAGGTGGGGGGCAAGGACGAGGAGGACGAGGAGGAGGAGGAGGAGGAGGAGGCGGCGGCGGCGGCGGAGGAGGTGGGGGGGGCGAGGACGAGGACGACGACGATGGACGCTCCTGCGGCCGCAGCTCGCCAAGCCGGGAGAGCGCACGCGCGGCGAGCTCGTCCAGCGCGTCGGGGGCGCAGACGCGGGCTGGGGCGAGGGCCCAACTCACGCTGGCGAGCTCCTGTGTGTGTGGGGGGGGGGGATATCCGCCTCCCACTGGCGACCTACAGTCAAAAACCCTAATAAGGACGCGAGGCAAGGACGCAAGACCCTTGGAAGCCGAAGTTGGGATTTTTGGGGGCGACGGACGACGAAAACCCCAAAGACGCACGGGTGCCCTGACTCACCTCCGTCCTTATCAAGGAAGGACGGAGACGCAAGAGCAAGGAAGAGCAAGGACGCAAGGGTACCCTGAGCAAAGTCGCGCGTCCTTACTAGGGTTTTTGACTGTACCATTAGGTCGGGCACGTCCTCCTACAATGGATGTTGGAAGAAAATACACAAGATAATTCAAAAACACTCAGACTGAAACAGTCCAGAAATAGTCAACAACATCGTCCCCAAGCTATTTTACAATGCCCGACTTGAAGCTACCATAGAGGGGCACAGGGACACGCAAACAAATAGACACAAATCCCAGGATTCCCAGGATTCTGCCATAGTTTCGGGGTGTTCCTATTCCTCTCCACTGCTTCCTTTTTCCTCTAATTTTCCAGGGATTCGACGATGAATTATGTCTGTGTGTTTCCCCACCTATCGAGGACCACCCCAACCCAACCCGAAGACCCACATTTCGGGCTGCGAGGGGGTACGGGTTCCACATGCGTTTCTTCAGTGCTCCCCGACCCCCCCAATCTGGGAACTGAGGGTAAACTAGGGCCTTCGGGTTGGGTTGGGGTGGTTTGGTGGGAGGTGAACCTCTAGGGAAATGAGGACCAGCATTAAAAGAAACTTCCGTACCTCCGTGCGGATCTCTAGAATAGCGCTGACCCGCCTCCCTGGCGCGCGCGGAGCGCGCCAACGGCGGCGCAGCCAGGGGGCGCCCAGCTCAATCCGAGATATCCGCGCGGAGCTCCGAAAATGTATGGTTACTCTTGATATTGTTCTGATTCGATCCTCCCGCCTCCTCCTCCTCGCTCTCGCTCGCCCGCTCCGTGAGGCCGAGTCGGGCGCGAGCCAACTCGGCTCAGCGCAAGCCCGGCTCAGTCCTTTGAAAACTAAAATTGTGCTTCGTTTGCGGTCTCCCCAAGCCTGACATAGCCAAAATTAGAGGCCTCCTGGATGGGGTCGGAGTAGATGGGGTCGGAGGATCGAGCCGCATCGCCGATACATCGGCGGTGTATCGGCGATGCATCGGCGATGCATCGGCGATGCACTGGCGATGCATCGTCGACGTGGACGATGCATCGGCGACGTCGACGCGAAGCCAATCGGACTCCACATCGAGCCACATCGGCGGTGCTTCGGCGAGGCGGCGCGTCGCTCCGACCCCATCTGCCCCGACCCCATCCAGGAGGCCTAGAAAAACTCGAGCGGGGCCCCGGACGAGAACATACCTCGAGCCTGTGGTATGCTCTCGGTTGGACCTTCTTTTGGACCTGCAGGAGCTCTGTTGGGCCCGGCTTGGAGCTGACTCGGGCTGCCCGGGGCCCTCTGGCGCCATCTTCGGGTTCGGGCGTTCCCTGGGCGAACGTGAGAAAAATCGTTAAGTCGCCGGTCACCTTTTCCCCCCGGGGCGAATTTTCATGCATATAGCAAGGGGGCATTCGGGGCATGTGCTTAAATCTCTTCGGGCCTGCCAGGGATCTATTGCTACCACACCCTTACAGGGATCCACCCCAGACGAGGCGAGATAAGTATGTGCATAAATGATACGGGCGTGTGCGAAACTGACACCCACGCAAAACCCACCGGCACACGAGGCGCCACAGAGGCGCCCACCGGCCCAAAAACCGGCGCACCCATCAAGCACACCGGGCGCCCACGCGGCGAAACCAGGCGCCCAACCGACGACACCCGCCGTACGCTTTCCTCATCCTGCCTCCCCGTCGCCGCTCACTCATGATCCAGGCAAGCACGGCCAACGCCCCCCGCTCCGTCCAGCGCCCCTCTTCCATCCAGAAACCGACCTCCGCTCGGGCCAACCCTCCGTCCTCCCCATCTTAGCAACATCACCCCCCTTCGTCCATCCTTCGCATATCCCCCACCCCGCTCGGTCCCCTTTCCTTCTTCTGGTCCTTCTCGTTGACTGGAACCCTCTCTCTGTATTATTATCGGCCCTCGCCTCATCCCCTGTCTGCGCGATCCTCCACTCAACAGCTGTTCCGAACGTTCCGCCCAGACGGGATTGCGAAACAAAAGCCAAGTACAGAGCGATTGTGCTAAAGAGCGAGGGCAGTGATGTGAATCGATCAATTACTGAAACGGTCGCGAGAAGACAAAACGCCTTGGCGGGCAAATAAGTTGGGCCATGAAACAGAGGCGTCCAAACACATCTGAGGCTTTGCAGGAAACGAACTACAACGGCCCGAAAGGACAAAGACAGTTGGCGATAGAGCGCTTGTTGAATATCGGACTCGCAGTGTGTACAAACACAAGCACAGGAGCGCACATAACGAGGAACAACCAATCTCCTATATGCAACAACTGACGAACAAGAACATCAGCGATCATGAGAAGACACGAGGAAAGAGAGAACGAATGACACAATGCGGACACACCATCCTCCACCAGCGGTTTACAAGTGATCGTCGGGGTGCTTAAAGGGGCGCCCAACCGAACGCAAACGTGGCATTCGCGGTCTGTCAACCCAAACCGTTTTAAAAACCGAGCCCAGCGGCGATAATTTCGACGCTAATACACGATACATTCCCCATGCAACGCATGCTCCTGGGTGCGATGCTTCAAACCGCAAATCTAGAATTCACGTGCAGTGGTGTCCTGCTCACACTCCTGTGGTCTCCTCACCCGTCGCGCGCAGTTGGCGCAGCCCCTAAGACAGGGGGAAGAAGACAGGGAGGAGGGAGTGGAGTGGAGTGGAGTGGAGCCCGTTGCGCAATGCAAGTTAGTGATATGATTACATAACACTCGACCGCCTGGCCTTCTGCTCGGCCTGGCTGAGGACTTTCGGCTTCCTGTGGGCCTCAATCCGATCGAGGTATTCCTGCCGATTCTTATTGATCCTACCCGAACAGGGGGAGGGACAACAGGGGGGAGGGAGAAGGATGGAGCACGATAGAGATCATCAGCAGGATGAATAAAGAGCAGGAAGCCAAGCGGCAGAGCCAAACGAGCGGGGCGGGCGGGCGGGCGGGCGGGCCACAACGGGCGGGTCGGGGCGGGCGGGCCCGGACGGCTGGGTCGGTCGGGCGGGTCGCTGAAGCGTCAGCCCCGCACGAATCGCGAGGAGGTCTCGAGCGACAGCGCGATTCCCCAAGTAACTCGTGAGGAAGTCCAGAGCGAGCGTGACTCCTGAGCGTCGAAGGCGCAGCTTTAACATAAACAGAAGGGAAGTCCCGTTGGAGAGCGCGGTGCCTGCATGAGCTGCGAGGAAGTCCCGCGAGCCGGCGCGATTTAGATCACATTGTAAGGGCGCATTCGGCGGGGGCCGTTGGTGTTGTAATTCGAGGTCCAGGGGTACAGTCTGAGGCGCAAGACTTCCCATTTTGCAACAGCTAGATGCGAGCCCCAAGGTGGGCACTTAATTGAAAGACAACAGCGAGGCGGGATCAACAACATCTGTTGTAGAAATCCGCCGATCCGGCGTGGGAGTTTGGGGGGTGCCGGGGTGGCTCTGCCAGGGAAGGAGGGGGGGGGGCTGCCCCCATTCAGGTTTGGAGGGAGTTTGGGGGGCGCCGGGAAAGGGGGGAGGGGGCTGCCCCCATTCAGATTTGGAGGGAGTTTGGGGGGTGCTGGGGTGGCTCTGCCGAGGAAGGGGAGGGGGGGGGGGGACTGCCCCCATTCACAGGTTTGGAGGGGGCGGGGGGGCTGCCGCCATGCAGGTTTGGAGGGGGAGGGCATTCAGGTTTGGAGGGTGGGCGCTGGGGGGTGCCGGGGTGGGCCCTCCTCATCATCATTCTCAGCATCGCCACCATCGTCGTCATCATCATCATCATCACCATCATCATCATCATCGTCGTCATCATCATGATCGTCATCATCATCATTACCACCACCACCATCATCATCACCACCACCACCATCATCATCAGCAGCATCATCAACATCATCAGTACCATCATCATCATCAGCAGCAGCAACATAATCATAATCATGGTTAGCATTATCATCGTTATCATCACCATCATCATAATCATAATCATCATCATCATCAAGACCATCATTAGCATAATCATCATCAGCATCATCTTCATAGCCATACTCATCAACATCATCGTCATCATCACCATCACCGTCACCATCATATTCACCAGCAGCAGCATCATCTGCAGCATCACCATCACCATCATCATCATCAACATGATCCTCATCCTCATCCTCATCATCATCATCGTCGTCGCCATCATCATCATCATCGTCATCATCCTCATCAGCAGCATCATCAGCATCAGCATGATCATAATCGTCATAATCAGCATCGCCATCACCATCATCATCAGCATCATCATGCTGTCTTAAGCGCGGGGGGCGGAGAACTGCGCAAGCAGTAAAGAGTTTTCTGTTGCACTATTCTCGTGAACGCGGCAAACTCATCGCGATGAAACCCGACCGACCTCGGATCGGACGGGTGCTACAAGTGTCTGATCAAGCACTCTGGTCCCAGAAAATTAGTTCGAGCATTCGAAAATTGCAAGAAAAGGAAACAAAGGCCTTGGGTTGGCGGCGGGAGCCAAAACGGAGCAGCTACAGAGAAGCTGTTCGGCACCGCAGTGCAATTTCCCAAAACAGTGCAAGCACGACGGAGCAAGGACCCCCGCGGGGCGAAGCGCGATTATCCACGCGCCCACGCACCGAGAGGGTTGGGGTCCACGACAGGGCCCGCTATTTTACATCATTCATGTGCACGCACCCCCATGCTGTGATAAGCGCGGGGGGCGGAGAACTGCGCAAGCAGTAAAGAGTTTTCTGTTGCACTATTCTCGTGAACGCAGCAAACTCATCGCGATGAAACCCGACCGACCTCGAAACGGACGGGTGCTACAAGTGTCTGATCAAACACTC